CTGCAACTTGAGAGGAACTCATGTCCCTTCTGGATTTCGAACTCGCATCACCCAGTGATGCAGTCACAGACCTTACCACTGAGCTATTCAGGCTCGCGACTGACCTCCTGTAGGACTGTAGTGGATATTTCTGATTGGACATTAGTCAGTAACTAGTGTAATGTGTCTAGTCCTATCTTCTGTGCAGACTGAATTCTATCAGTCATGCTTGCAATGTGGCCACGAGCCTGTGTGTCGCGAGTATGAATAGCTCAATGGTAACGTCTGTGACTGCAGGACTGGGTGACGCGGGTTCGAATCTCAAAAGGGACACCAGTTTCTTCAAGGTTGCAGATACGCCTTGCTGATGAGTGTCAACTGGCACGAAACCTACGTCCAAGGCTTCCTGTGGCCGATTGCCTCCAACCATCTAATACCAATAATTCACAGTGCACCGTAATGGCGAGCCACCTAGCATGGTGGCCACATTGCAAGCATGACTGATAGAATTCAGTCTGCACCGAAGATAGGACTAGACACATTACACTAGTTACTGACTAGTGTGGAATCAAAAAAAAGGAAAAGTATTGCAAATCTTCAGCTGATGTAGTCTGTGATAAATATGACTGTTTCAGTGATGAATCGATTTTCTTCACCAACCAGCATCAGTTAGAGCGATCAATGAAAACTCGACAGCAGTCAGTAGCTGTTTTGTCCTATTAGGGGACTCTTCAACCGAATGCATCTACAACTCTACCAGGGATTAAATCGGAAACCTCGAGGTTACTAGAGCAAGCGCATTGACTGTTCACTCACGTGGGCTCTAATCCAAGTTTGTCATCTCCAAATACAGCGCTAACTTCAGTAATGTATTCGGTGAACACAGTGTGCATCACCGGTCACGAGTTCTCAATGCACCTTTAGGAAGTCCATTATGGGAATTTGTGAGGATCTAATCTAACAACTGAAATTAATCCGAAATCCCCACAAATTTCATAATGTTTATACAACTGTGGTGAAAATATATGAGTTCGGTCTGACTGAGATATGATATCGACAGATGAATTAATTGTCTTACAAGTTATCCCCCACTCCACAAATGAAAATGCTGTTTTATAGACCATGAGTCTGTGTGATATAAATTTGTAGACTATACATAAATTACAATTTTGTGAATGAAAGGGGATTTTTGTTGACGACAAAAAATCTCATTATTATTATTGTATCCTTTAATTCCTAGAGGAACATAGGGCTTCAACCGTGAGTTTCCATTGCGTTCGGTTCTCTGCTAGAGTTTTCACCTGGCTCCATGTCTGCCCACACATTTTCATCTCCTCTTCACATGACTTCCTCCGAGTCAGCCTTGGACGACCAACTCGTCGCTTCCCTTTTAGGTTCTATTGGAGTGATAGCCTGTCTAGTGATGTCAGTTGATGGTTTCCTCAGAGTATGACCAGCCAATCCATCTCCATTTCTTCCTGCCTATTTGTTTCACAATCGGTTGGTTCCTGCTGTGTTGGTTCGCTCATTGCCAGAGATCTCTGTTTCTGATCTTTTCTGGCCGGCCATCTGATCTTGAGTATTGAGCGAAGACAGCTAGCTGTTGATGAAGGTCTGTAGTTTGTTTGAGATGCTCTTTATGACGAGACGGCCAAGTCTCTGATCCGTGTATAGCAAGTAGCACTGACTTCACATTGGAGTTGAAAATCCGGATGTTATTTTTGATGCTGAGTAGTGCTGTTGACCTCCACACAGACTTGAGAGTAGTGAAAGCTTGTCTTGCTTTTCGGATTCTTGCTTTGATATCCTTGTCAGTTCCACCCGCCTGTAGTTGAAACGATGCTTCCCAGGTATGTGGGTAAAGGAGGTTGCTTCTTTCAGGTTCCTCCCATTTATGCTGATTGTTGTCTGTTGTTGTTGCTGTTGGTGGTGTTGCCCAGGAATCTTCATCACCTCTGTTTTCTCTATGTTCACCTAAAGTCCTATCTTCTCTGTATGCTTCTTCTGCCAACTTGTTGCTTTTCGCTTGCATATCTTCCAGTTTGTGGGAAATCAGACATATATCTCATCGGCGAAGTCCAGATCCTCCAAGTTCTTTTTTGTGTGAGTCCATTTTATGCCTGTTTCCTCATTGCTCGTTGTTTGTCGCATTATCCAACCTACTGCAATCAGGAAAATCATTAGCGATAGTAGACAGCCAGCCTTGTCTTACTCCTGTCCTCACTTCGAAGGACTCCGTGAACTTCCCGTTGTGGATTACTTGGCATTCAGCATTGTTCTACAACTGTTGGATGAGATGAAAAATAGTCGGCGGCACTCAGTATTAGCGAAGTAGTTTCCATATCACCTCTCGATCGACGCCATCTGTTGAAGGCCTTTTCAAAGTCGATGAAGTTGAGATAGAGAGGTGACTGTCATTCCAAGCTTTGTTCAATGATTTATTTCGCATAAAGTCTTACAATGTAAACTTTCGTTAATTTGAATATTTTTCTCCAAATTCTTTTGCATTTATATTTAGGTATGTATTCATCTCTGTAAGTGATTTTACCTATTTGTCCGTCTGACTTCTACTTTCCTTTTTTAACATGTATACAAGTGATGCCTCTGTGTTAAACAGAAAGAAAATTGATACCATGTTTACCTGCTCCGATTCTTAATCGAACCTCCCATCATCATTATCGTCATCATCGTTCTTCTTCTTGAATATATCAGTTACAAGATATGCTGATAAGTGCCACTAATGTGGGTAACTAATGTTTCAGTAAAGATGTCTTAGTGGGAAAATCTTCAAAATAGGTCCCAAGTAACAAGACTGACAACTAGTATGCTTTACAGCATGTGATCCCATCTCACTTCACTTCATAGTGATATCTTGGCCTAAATTAATTCAGTGTGACAATTAAGTGTTAGTTATTGGAAGGGATTGCTTCTCAAATGATTTACTCATTTATATATCTGCTGCTTATCTACATGTATTCCCAAGATGATGAGGATTAGGGATCGAAGTTATGGCTTTTTGTAGTTTTTCAAGTTGTTATCGACGTCTCGCAACTGGATGAGAAACTAGCCCAGCTTTTTGATGCTACATTTTGATGTTTTAGAGGTTCAGCAGGAGAATGCTTGCTAGCTATGCACGTGGTCTGGGGTTCTATTCTCCTTGCCAGCTCGCGTCTTTACCTCCCCTAGCTGGTTGTGAGGCTAACAAAGAGGGAAAGTTGGGCATGGAGATGGCAATTCTACCCCGTGGAAAATCACCACAGCTACAGAGACTTTAAAGCCCAATCTTAAGGACTTATATTCCACCCGTTACACAAATTTTTGGAACTAATATCATAGCACTGATAGCAAAACACGATCGGAGTATTTCACTGTATAATCTGACGATCTGATGCGATCAAATGATTCGTGATGGACACCAGAAAATACTGCATTAGGAAACACCAGAATACAATCCTTTGTTATTTTCGGGAATATCTTAGATGCAATGCTCTTCCTTTGGTAGAAGTACTTTCTACCAAGGTAATATGGTGTGATTAGATAGTTGGAGGCAATCGGTCACAAGAAGCCTTACCAGGACCTAGGTTTCGTGCTAGATGGCACTCACCAGACAGCATGGCAGGCGTATCTGCAACTACCCTGAAGGAACTCATGTCCCTTCTGAGATTCAAACCCGCGTCATCCAGTGCTGCCTACAGTCAGAGACGTTACCACTGAGCTATTTAGGCTCGCGATTGACATCCTGTAGGACTGTAGTGGGTATTCTGATTGGAAACTAGTAACTAGTGCTACGTGGCCACATCGCAAACCTGACTGGTAAAATTCAGTCTGCACCAAAGAAAGGACTAGACACGTCACACTAGTTACTAGTGTCAAATCAAAATATGGTGTAATCTCAATAACAATGTAGCCATCATAGTTGTTATTTCTTAGTGCAATTCTAGTATGAATAAACTTCAACACTTATTCTGAGCTCTACTGAATGTATGAGTCTTCCAAAATTCTTTGTTCGTTGACCTGTGTAAATCATTCACTCAATTTCTGTCCACTGGCGGTTCCTTTCCCAATAAAGTGTCAAAATTAAATAAAAGTCACTCAGGAATAAAACAAAAATTTATTTTCTACTCATCAGCTTATGAGAACATGAATTCTCATTCAATAGAGTAGATAACGTATATCTTTAGATGGTTGGTGGGAATCTTCAGGAAGCTTTGGGCTTAGGTTTTGTTTGCTTGTTGGTATTAATCAGCAAAGTCTCTGTATTATCTTGAGGTAACTTGTGCCCATTCGGACACTGGAACCCGCGTCACCCAGCACTGCAGTCAAAAGTGTCAGCCCTGAGCTATTCGGGTAGTTATCTGCCTGCTGTAGAATCGTAATAGGTACTTTGATTGAAAACTGTTTAGTAACAAATGCCCTTTGACTATTCCTTGGTGTTAATGTAGAAGTCAAGTTTGCAGTGTGGCCACAATACTAGGTGCCTCGTCATCACAGTGCATTTCGACTTGTTGTTAGATGATTGGAGATGATCCGCGGGAATCGTTGAGTTTAAGTATCGTGCTTGTTGACACTGGCCAGCACGGCGTATATGAAATCCTGAAGGAACACATGTCCATTGTGAAATTTGTAATGAAACCTTGGTCCGAGGCTTCTTACAGATCACCTTTAACCAGCATTCCGAGTGCAATGTGACTGCCAGCTACATTGCAAGCTTGACTGGAAGAATTCAGTCTGTACCGACACGAGTGAGTAGACTCATGGCATTAGTTACCACCCATTATCCAATAGAAGGTAAGATGTGGTCTAGAAGAAGGGATGTAGAAAAGGGTCAGAAGGATGATAGAGGTGATCAGAAAAGAAACAGTCAATAACTTGACATTTCTATTTGCACAACAGAGTGATTTCTTCTAATCTACTTTTCATTCACTAACCACTGACTACTTTGCGCGTTTATTGTCCATTTAATGTCTCATGTTTTTGTGATGATGCCATTCTTAAACCTATTTTTTGTAATTTAATTTCAGGTCAGAGAATAGATGATTGTTTCCCAGCGAAAGTTCGACGTTGGTTTGGCATTGTCATTGCAATTTTTGATGTATTCCTCTTCGGTGGTTATCACTATGGTTTCAATTCCCTTGTTGAAGTTTACAAGTCAGTTGGCTTGTATGCATACAATTGTACACAGGAGGGATGTTTATATCATGAAAATATGTTCGGTGTTGTCTTTATTGTCTGGATGGTATCACAAATGTGTCTTATTGTCCTGGCTGGTGTACTCTTGGATAAGGTGGGATTAAGAATAACGAAAATACTCGCAACAATACTATTTTCTGCGGGTACGCTAATGTTTGCATTCACTACTGCTTCGACTGTGCCTCTATTCTATGCTGCTGGGATATTGGTCGCTTTAGCGAGTATATGCAGTTTAATATGTAATCATCAAGTCAGTTCTATGTTTCCACATATACGTGGATTATGCATATCGTTGATTTCTGGAGCATATGATTCAAGTACTGTGATCGCCTTTATAATATCACTGACATATAAGGCATTTCCATTCAAATGGTCATTTATAATATTGGCTATCTTCGCGGTGTTTGTTGGAATTTTCGTGGCACTCTTTATTCTTACAAGATATTCGAGAGATATGGGGAAGTATGCTGCTTCCAGTAAAAAAGAAGAAGTCGACTTCTCTGAGGTAAGTAGTGATCATAGTTACGTTTTGATAAGGCATTTCAGTGCTCCCAAAAGTATGCATTTACCTCACACACACACGCACCTTTAAAATTAGTTACATACAACAGGGCAGTGGTAAAAGTTGAAGACGTAATGAGATGCAAAACTTTGTACCTTATGGATGAGGTATCCTGAGACAGTGAAGGTTACGTTCACTTCTCCATGACATCTACGTGTCACTGTCTCTTGTTTTAGTCACTTCATGTCTATATTCTACGATTATTTAGTTGAGCGAAATGTACAATTAGTATTTTGAAAGTAAATCTGAACGAAGAATATTCTTTTCAATAATTTCTCCTCTTCAGGTTCTTACAATTGTAAAATATAATATTTGTTGTCGCTACAATAAACGCCAGTTATGCGGCAGATACATTTTTAACGTAGAATAACAGATTAGCAGTTATGGGGGTGTCAAAATAAATAGTTGTATTTGTGTGACAAACGTTCCCTGGGCTGAATTCGTTTACAAAATATTGTAAAACGAGAGACAATGGTGGTGATTAATCATAATAGATTTGTAGAGTGTGGGGTAGGAAAATCGACAAGTAAGTCAGATCAAGGTTATAAAAGGTGTCAGGTGAGTGAGTGGTTAGTACAAAGTGGTCTGTGTTAAACAGGAGATAGTCAGACTGCAATGAGAGGTTCATAATGAAATAACGAATATGTGAAATGAAACAGGTGGAGGCATTTATTGAGAAAAGAGATATCACAATTAATAAGAACCTGAAGAGAAATTATTGAAAAGAATATTCTTCGTTCAGATTGACTTTTAATTCATAATATGGGAATTTTCCACACTATCAAATTTTGAGAGTAAGATACGAAAGTGAATATTCCCTGACGAAGTCAGGGAAACACATGGTCATCCAATGCAGTAATTTCAACCGAACACCAGAATACATTCTTTTATATTTTGCAGAAACGTTAGGTTAAATAGGGACGCTGTGCTGGTGACAGATATGATGATAAAAATATCGTTCATCCACACCAACCACGGGGAATTAACCAAGAACACAATCACGTGAGACTACTGACATAGGCGTCAGAAAGGAGATAATCCATAGATTATCTCTCTACTTATTTATAAGACAACTGACAAGTTTACTGATATTAGATCGTTGGAGGCGATCGGCTACAGGAAGGAAGCCTTGGACCTCGGTTTCGTGCTAGTTGGCACTCACCAGTCATCAGGGCGTATCTGCAACCTTGAAGGAAGTGATGCCTCTTCCAGACTGGACATAGATCAACATACATCGGAACTCAGAATCTGAAATCTCCCGCTTTATTGTGAAAAGTTATTCAAAAAACGTCCTCATTCCTAGATGAATATATTTAACTCTTGTATATTTCATTGGATAGATAGCGTCATGGACCGTCATCTCTAAATGATGTTGGTTTGTTATGAAATTTAACAACTGAAATTATTCCACATCTCCGCAAATCCAATGTATTATGATTATATTATTATTAGTAACTTCAATTCCTAGAGGAACACAGAACTTCAGCCTCACATCTCCGTCGCGTTCAATTCTCCGCCAACGTTTCCACCTCCCCCCACGTCTGCACACATGATTCAACCTGCTCTTTGCATCATCCCCTTCTACTCCATGTCACCCTCTCACTGACTACCAAATGACTCGCCACTTGCAATTCGGGTTCCACTAGACTAATGGCCTGGCGTGTGATGTCACTCACTTGATCCTTTGTTTTCTCAGAGTATGGCCAGTCCACCTACCGTAATTTCTTCCTGCATGTTTGTTGCACAGTTGGTTCCTACTGGGTTGATTCATTCATTGCCAGAGATCCCTCCCTGTTGCTGATCTTTTCTGACCGGCCATCTGATCTTGAGTAGTTTTGGGCGAAGATGTTGGTGAAGTCCTGTAGTTTGTTGGAAGTGCCCTCCGTGACGCGACGTCAAGTCTCTGATCCGTGAAGTAGCACTGAAATCACATTGAAGTTGAAAATCCCAATCTTATTTTCATTTTTGTGCTGAGTGCTGTTGACCTCCACACAGACTTTAGACTAGTGAAAGCTCGCCTTGTTTTCCCGATCCTCGCCTTGATATCCTCATCAGTTACGTTGGCCTGTTTCAGATTTCTCCCATATATGCTGGCTGATTGTTGTCTGTTGTTGTTGCTGTTTTGTTGGCCAGGAATCTTCATCATCACCTCTGTTTTCTCTGGGTTCACCTGAATTCCTATATTTGATGCTTCCTGTTGCTTTTCACTTACATATCATCCCGTTTGTTGGAAATCAGACAAATGTCATCGGTGACACAAATCCTACTATCTGAAGTTAAATTGGCAGCTCAACGATGGCTACTGGGTGTACGCTCTAGAGCTGTACTGGGAATTCGTGTTAAAGTGAAGTTGACGCCCATCGAAGGATTCAATTGAAGGCGGCGAAATGTTGTGAATAGGCAAAATTAGAATTCATAGGTCAATTAATTCCTGCCCAAGTAGGCTTGGTTTCGTAACCTGAAGATTCTGTTTCCGATATGTGGCAATGTCATGGGTGAGCGCTGACGAAGAACCCCAAAGTAAGACGAAACAGAAATCAATGATTTCTTGGATTTTAATGACCTCGCCAACTGTTACTAGTTCATGAAACTAATCCTAATCTGCAATAAATTCAATAATCTGCCTTGTTTATCTCTTTCCTCCACATACAGAATTCATTGACCGGCGGTGATGTACCAAAATTAGATATCTACGGTGAAATATCTGCATTACTGGATGAACGTTTTCCATCACTGAAAAGTTGTGTCTTCTCAATGCCATACTTGTTAATCAACATTTGGTTTACACTAGGTTTATTTCGTTTCTCATTTTATTTAACTCATTTTGTAAAGCATATTACCGCTATGTTTATCACGGATGCAACGCTTAAAGTACATTTGTTAACCGTATCTTCAGCATTTTTTCTCTGTGGATTTCTTGTCGCTCCAATTACCGGTACTATCATTGATTATTTCCTTCGTAGAGCTAGAAATAAAATTGAACAGATGTTAATTCTTAAAAAAGATTCCTACTATCCGAACAAAATTTACTATACTCTAGTGGGTGGATTAGTTCCAGCACTCAGTCTGATGGCTGTATTTGCTGTCCTCTTGAGTATAATGATGTTTATACCCCAGTATATAGCATGTTATGCTGCATTCATATTCTTAGTTATCGTTAGATCCCTGCTATTCAGTACATTTATTAGTTTCCTTCTTTCAGCTTTCCCAGTACGTTATTTTGGTACATTGAATGGAATATCTAATGCACTGGCTGGAATAATCAGCCTGTTACAGTATGCCTTCTTAGAGACTTCCACTCTTGTAGATAATATTGTCACTTTATTGATTTCAACAGGTATATTTTTCATACCAATTGTATTTTTAATTCTTTCTAAGAAGAATTGATTTGGTTTTTCTTCCCTGGATTATTTTTTGTGGCAGTGTTTATTCTTACACAAACCAACGATCATATACTTCTTTTCGTTTATTTCAATATTATGTTAAATTATATGATTGTTTTTTTCTGTCTTCGAAAGTATTGAACAGAGAAATAAACGTTGAAAATGATTTCTATCGAATGTTTGTTTTTCGTTGTCTGAGACGTTTTTCATGGGTTTCAACGTGGAATGTCTTGCATTCCATAAAGCTTATAGATGGCTGCAGTATAACATAAAACGGGAAGCACATGCATCGGTGATATAGACGTAGAATCCGCGTCAATCACATATGTGGTCCGGCAAAAACGATAGCCAACCGACGCACTCCTAAATCACGCTTAGACGATGGTCAGCCTGGTTAGTAAAGAAGCGTCCGCGTGAAGCTAGCAGTCACACACATCCCACACCGAAATATAACACTACCGTTACTGAAACTCCAAAGCTGAAGCTTGAAACAAAATAACAGAATAAAGAGTCATGAAGAGTAAGAGCCAAGCCACCTCTGTATTGACCTGGTCATTGGATTCAAATGCTTAGTGTTCATCTATGTGTCTACTATCATCAGGATTGAACTGATACTGGAATCTTACTATCCATTCAGTTGAATCTTATCCATCGGTTAGACGTGACATCCGACTATCGACCAAAGGGCGTGTGTACTGCTCAACAGTCCACTCCGTCCTCCTTTATGGCTGTGAGACATGGCCATTGAGAGGGGAAGACATGAAAAGATTAGTTGTCTTTTATCATAGGTGTCTGCATTCTATCTCCCGCGTGAAGTGGTATAATAAGGTGAGCAATATTGAGATTAGGCGTTGGGTGCTAAGTAAGGAGAGGAAATCAATCGACGAGGCTGTGAAGCTACATCGGCTGAGATGGTTAGGACATGTGTTACGCATGCATGCCTAGTCATCGCCTTCCTCGACTGACGGGCAATGTTAGCTGATATAGGGCCAGGCCGGGAAAGAGCTAGCGCCGGTCAAACAAAAACATGGAACCAGTCAACGAAATCTACAACAGTTAGTCTAAGCCGGCCACGTAGGAAGGTGTAGACTTCCTGGCTGGTTGGGGTCCTCGGGACGGTAAAAACCAATGGTTGGAAACAATTGGTGACATGGCTCAAAATCGTTCTCAGTGGCGCAGATGCATCCACTCCTTGTGACTTATGATTTCCGATTAAACTTTTGTTCTCCGTAATTACCATTCCTTTGTCTCACACCTCTGTTTACTGTGTATATTATGCATTTCTCCTACTTTCTTCTCTTGCTTTGTGTGCTACAAGGAGGGAGTGTGGCAACTTGAACTGCCGCACATATATGCAAAGTTCTATGTCGAAAACCGACCGACCGACCGACCGGTTATCTCAACAAAATATCAACTGTACTGAATTCCATTCCGGTCATTAAGGAAATCTTTTTCTAATATCAGTCGTCACTGGTGTATTTTGAATGGTTGTCTCCAGTCACAGCCTTCAATCACATGGAATGTTCCATGAAATATGATAAATTTAAAATCACTTAATGCTAATCAGTGATATTTAAGGAACCTTCTTTTTTGAGACACGCACCCATTTAACTCTGATTAAAGCGAAGCAGTCATAACCTTCCAATAGTGTGGTTTATCTAAGATTTAATTTTGAATTATACAAACCACAAATGGTTATTGAATTGATCTTCATTTGTTGGAGAATTTCACCATGAACCATTGGTAAACACCTGGGAGTACTGCTAGACGGCTGTCTCGTCAGACTGGTTTCGAACTCTTAAGCAGTACTCAACCACCATAGGGAGTTCGAAACCAGGACCTTTGAGTCACAAGGCGAGCTCGTAGACCATTAAACCACTGGGACCCGATCCACTGACCAGCCCATGAATTCTAACTTCTGCTAATTCATGATCTTCATTTGTTCAGTTCCTTGTGATCAGATAGGTTCTAAAGGTGTAAATGTGGGGAAATGAAACTGAAATCTTCGATTCATGAGGTGGAGGAAATCTGGTGAAGGACGCTATACACATTTAGTGAATTCGTTCTTATGGTTTAATTTTTATCTAATATTGTCAAGGAACACATCTACACAGAAGTGATTAGAGTGAGTGCATTTGGTTCATTTAACTCTTACCATCGTTAATTAACCAAAACTTTTCAGTAGTGTATTGTGTCTGAAAATTAGTTTCACAGATACAAGCCATCAATGATCATTTAATTGATCTTCAGGTAGGCAACACTAAGTATCATCACTGAACAGAGCTTGGAATGACAGTCAGCTCTCTACCTCGCTTAACTTCAGCGACTTGAAAAAGCCTTCGGCAGACAGCGTCGATTGAGGGGTGATTTGAAAACTATTTTGCTACTGCTAATGGTTGCCACCAACAATTGTACATCTCATCCAACAGTTGTACAACAATGCTGCATGCCGAGTAATCCACAACGGGAAACTCACGGAATCCTTCGAAGTGTAGACGGGAGTAAGACAAGGTTGGCTGCGGTAGACTGGATAATGCGACAGGCAGCAGGTTGGGCAATGAGGAGACAAGCATAAAACTGACCCACACAAAAAACTTGGAGGATTTGAACTTCACCGATAATATATGTCTGATTTCTCACAAACTGAAAAATAGGCAGGCGATAAGCAACAAATTGGCAAAAGAAGCATCAAAGATAGGAATTCAGGTGTACCCAGAGGGCACAGAGGTGATGATGAGGATTCCTGCTTGCCAACACAAACACCAACAACAACAGACGACAATCAGCGTAAATGAGTGGAATCTGAAAAAAGCAATTTCCTTCAACTACCGACTTACCTGGGAAGTGTCGTTTCAACTACAGGCGGACGGAAGTGATGAGGATATCAAAGCGAGGATTGGGAAAGCAAGATGAGCATTCATGACGCTCAAGACTATGTGGAGATCAGCACTCAGCACTGAGCATGAAACATAAGATCAGGATTTTCAACTCGAATGTGAAATAAGTGTAACTTACTATGCGGATCAGAGACTTTGCGCCACCTCACGAAGGGCAATTCGGACAAGCTATACACCTTCATCAACAGCTGTCTTCGCTCAATGCTAATCATGATCTAATGGCCGGTCAGAAAAGATCAGCAATGAACGAACCAACTTAGTAGGAACCGACTGTGCAACAAATATGCAGGAAGAAATGGAGTTTGAGGTGGATTGACCATACTCTGAGGAAACAAAGCATCAATTGAGTAACATCACACGCCAGACCATTGATCGTGTGGAACCCGAATAGAAAGCGGAGAGTCATTTAGTCGTCAGTGCTAGGATGACATGGAGTAGGAGGAGGTGATTCGAAGAGGAGATGAAATCATGTAAGCAGATGTAGAGCTAGGTGAAAACGTTGTCGGAGAACCGAGATGAAGCCCTATGTTCCTCTAGGTACTAAATGAAACAATAATAATATAGTATTATAATAATAACTGTAAGCAAGATGTATCCTAAATGAGTGAACTTAACTATTTACTCACACTGAACATTTTTTCTTTCAGAAGAATTCTAATATATGTATATAACAAGGTTAACAGTAAAACTATGAGTAATTTGACTGGCACAGTGTTTCAATGTAAGGAATATCGTATCATAGTTTACTATTCTTGTTCTTTTGAGTGGTAAGAATATATATATATAAACAAAACATTTTGTCTATAGTGTCAGCTAAAAAACTCTGTTTACATCATGTATTAGTAGACTCCAAATAACAAGGATAGCTTGTCAAATGTTGATTTGGTCAGTTGAGGAATCATGTGAAACCAAGGGATATTGTGGAAGTGTTTCGTTCTTTTATTTGACACTGATCAACAGGAAGTATCCATCGAGATTCGAACCCAAGACCTTTTGTTTTAAGACGACCATTCAACCAAATGGCTGATGAATTCCAACTTCTACTGATTCGCCATATCATGTATATATATATGTATATATATATATATATATATATATATAAACGAAAACGGGTTAACATCTGCCTACTGCGGAAATGGATTCAGAGGGATAAGGACGAGAGTGGCGTGTGCTACTGATAAGATCTATCAGTAGTATGTATATATATAAAGAGATATTCATCGTCATAAATACATCAAATAGCAGGGAGATACATTTGATATCAGACAAAACAAATGATCACAGAGGAGATGTGAAAGGAACACAAAGAAACATAATATGAAAGCAAGAAGTAGCACAACGTGAAGATATGTGCAAATGGTGCTTTAAAGATAAGATGTACATAATTTGGTTACATAAAGGTACTTAATGGCAAATAAACATTCCTGTACCATGTATTTCGTCATTTACTGTTACAATATATACTTTCGGAAGCTAGAAGACCTGGATTTCGTGGATGACTTATGTTTGATGTCGCACAAAATCGAAGACTTACAAGCGAAAACCGACAAACTGGTCGAAGAAGCAGCCGGTGAAGACAGGACTCCAGGTGAACATAGACAAGACGAAGGTTATGAAAATAACCATCCAACCAACAACAACAACAACATCCGACGCCAATCACCATCAACGGGAGGGATTTGAAAGAGGTTACTTCTTTCACTTATCTAAGGAGCATTGTCTCAACTACAGGAGGAACGGACGAGGATGTCAAATCTAGAATCGGGAAGGCGAGAAACACATTCATCAAACCGAAACCAATCTGGAAATCTTCGTCACTTAGCGACACTCAACAACAAAATTCGGATTTTCAATACAAACATCAAGTCAGTCAGTTCTTCTATACGGATCAGAAACTTGGTGGGTCACAAAGAATATTTCCAACAGCCTGTTGCAGACCTTTATCAACAAATGTCTTCGTTTTATACTGAAGATCTGATGGCCGGAAAGAACAAGAACAGACAAGAAACTATGAGAAGAAACAAAACAAGAACAAATCGGTCAACAAATATTCAGGAGAAAGTGGAGATGGATTGGACACTCGCTGAGGAGGCCGTTGGGTGACATCGCGCGTCAGGCCATAGCTCGAGTGGAACCCGAAAGGGAGGCAGCGAGTTGGTCGTCAGTGCTAGGGTGACATGGAGGAGATCGTGGGAAGAGGAGTTGAAACAGTATGGATTAACATGGATGCAGGTGAAAAGTACAGCAGAAGATAGAAGCAAGTGGAGACGTGCAGTTGAA